CCTCATCTCCCCGTTCCTGTTCCCCCTTCTCAGATGTGACTTCCCAGACCTTGGAAATCCATCCCTTTTCGCCCCAGAGGGCCTTAATGGGTAAAATGTCCAAATCAGACACGGGCACGCACAGAGGACGGCAGGCTCTTTGGGGCAGGCCCAGGGCGACGGGAAGGCCGAGGCCGAGGGGTGGCGCGGAGTCAGGCCCCCAGGCCAGTGAGCAGGTACAGCCTGGGCCACCCGGGGGATGGGCAGGCCTGGGCCCAGATTTGGGCCACAGACCCGTGTCCAAGGGCAGGGAGAATTGAAAAGAGGCCCCTGAGGCCGTCTGGAGGCCTGGGATGGGGAAGCCGGGGCACAGGGCACAGTCGGGCCTCCCCCCTCCACCCCAACAGGCGGTGGCTGCAGGCCCGGGAGGCCTTTCTCCAGGCGGGCACGTGTCCTCCGAGCAGCTGCTGCCTGGGGGGACGCCTGTGTGGGGCCCAGTGGCTGGTTACTTAATGGCTAGCAACAACCCAAGTTAAGGATCCCCACACACTGGTCGACTGCGTCTGTGCTTGCTGCTGTGTGCCAGAGCTGGTTGGTGCCATTGTTAACATTCTCTTGTGGTGCCAACCCAGGCCAGCGAAACCTCCTAGGTCGCCTCAGGAGCAGGAATGTGCAGCTCTCAGGGCACAGGGCCAGAGTGGCTGTGCCGTCACCCGCTGTTGGTGTGTAACCCCGGCCACTAACCTGGAGATGGGGTGCTAGTGCTGAACACCTGGGCACCACTAAGCGGCCGAGGGGTGGGGGCGAAGTGGTTTGACCCGAGACCGCTGAGCTGCGAGCCGGCCCCTGGGCGCGGGCACCTGCCTCGCTCGCCGGGGTCGACTCTTCCTACAGCGGCTCTTTGCCAAGCGTGGGTCACCCTCCTCCAGCCAAATCCCTCCTTGGGGGTCCCCCAGATTCCACCGTGTTCCTGTCCCTGCCCTCTATTCCAGGACACTTTCTCAGCCAGGAGCGCTGGCCCTGCTGCCCATAGAGTTGTTCACAGCAGGACCCGCCCGCATCGTCCTGCAGCAGCCCGCCCGCCTGGGGTGCGCTGCGTGGCTTGGACGTTATAGCACATGCTCAGTTCAAAAGATGCATGAGCATGTCCGGGATTGCTGTCGGGGCCACACGGCCCTGCAGGCAGGCTGGCCCAGTGCAGACCGGTCAGGGTGCCAGGAGAGGCCTGTCAGGCACGGGCACGTGTGCCACGGTGGCGAGAGGCCCTCTCCCCACACTGCTGTCACGCGACTCCCCCAGAGGGCTGTCCTGCCTTTCCCCCAAACAGGTGTGAGTCTGGTTTAGTAGCCAGTGTCTTGGCAGACTTTCTGGGGGCTCCTCCTCTGCTGTTTCCATGTTAACGCTCTTCCTCCAGCTAAAAGCAGAATCCATGGAGATCCAGGAACCTTCTAGAGATGCTGCCCAGGGTCAGCATCTCCTATTTGGAGATCACACCAGCATATCCCCTGGGGCTAGCGTCCCCTGGGCAGGACTGCTTTTCTGGGCACCCCAGTCCTGCCCCCCTATCCCTGGGGCCTCAGCAGCCTCTTGCCACCAGCTGCTCTGGTCACTGGGCTGGCAGGAATCCTGCTGGGAAGGGGGACTGTGCCTTGTGGCAGGCACGGCGAGGCTGTGGGCAGGACTGGGCACGCAGGGGCTGCTTATTGAGAACTGGGAGGGGCTGTGTTGAGGCTGTCAGAACATTCTGGAAGACTTGGGGCCCCTTGGAGCAGACACAGACAGTGCAGGCCAGAGAGCCAGGCATGGCCTGAAGTGCAGAAAGCCCTGAGCCAGGACCCTGGAGGAGGAGGTTCTGAGCCAGACGTGGCTGAGCTTGCCCCCCGCCCAGCTCAGCCTCACCAGGCACGGGACGGCCCACGGCCCGCCTCCCCTCCCGCCCCACAGAGCGGCGCCATGAGAGGGCTGTGCTCACAGGGTGGCAGGCCCCTGAGAAGACCGTGGCCTCAGGCCAGCAGTTCCTGCCTTTTGGGGGACCTGGTGTCTTGGGGCTGGAGCCTCCTGCACCCAGATCCTCGACAGCCCCGTGGGGGTGACGTGAGCCTGGAGCCCTGCAGGCTCACTCGCCGCAGGACTTGGCAGGTCGGCAGAAGAGTGAGTCAGGCCGGGCGGGATGGAGGCCGACTGGGCAGCACTCGTCCTGTCTCAGGCCAGCTCTTGGTACCCGCAGGGCCGTGCGGCTGCGTGGCCACACAGCTCTGCCGTCTCAGAGAAACAGGACGTCGGTGTCAGCGTGAGCCGTCCCGGGCCGCCCGGGTTGCAGAGGCCCACCTTGACATGCCCCGCGCCAAGCCAGTTGTGTGTGCTCCAGAGGGGAACCAGGGTGGGCTGCCAGACAGACACCCCAGGGCCCCCCGAGGGAAGGCAGGTGCTGAGGGACACCCGGGGTCTGCAGGGGGGCCGCCCCGCCCGGCCCCAGGCTCCCTGCATCCCGACTGGGTGCGGAGGCCGCGCGGCCTGGTTCCAACCCAGCCCTGCCAGTGCCCAGCTGGGTGATCTTGGAGGAGAACCTCAAGTTTCCTCTCCTGCCAGGGAGGTGAAGGACACCGCGGCTGCGGGGTCGAGTGCGCCGTGCGCCTTCGCGTCGTCACGAGTTCTTGGAAACTTGAAACGAGACAGCGGAGAGCGAGGGCGGCCCTGGAGGGATGGCGTTTTGCTCCGCGCTGGCTGGGATTGTTTTCCTTATGGACGTAATGAAACGACGTGGTTCGGGGGACCCGGGTCCCTGGTTGTGTGGCCAGCCCAAGAGGCTGCAGACGGCTGTCTCTTCTGTTTTCTTTCCAAATATGTTTTTTATTTAATTTTTTAAAAAGATTTATTTATTTATGCATACAAGAGCTGGGGCACTGGCCAGAGGTGTGGGGGGTGAGAGGATTCACCAGAGACAGAGTGGGGAGCAGAACAGGCAGACTGACTGAAATACACTGCAGAGGGGAGCAGCGGGCGAGGCAGGAGAGGTCTGCCGTGCCGTGGGGGTAGCTCCGCGGCTGGCAGGGGATTGAACTCCTGCTGCAGCGGCTGCGGGTTGCTTCATAGTGCGGTGCTTCACCGCTTGCGCCATCAGGGAGGCCCCCAAATATGTTTTTTAAATTGTAGAATTAGCCCCACGTTGCTGTGACAGCAGCTCCTGTGCCTTGTCTGACCGTGGAGGCGCGTGGCCGCCCGGGGCTGCTCTTAGCAGTGTCCAGGGGGCACCCGACGCACTCGCTGTCCGCTGCGTCCTTCCCTGCTCGGGTGGCATGCCAGCCTCCCCAGCGCCTGCGTCTCAGACGGCTTCTGGGCCTTTGCTGGGGTTTGATGACCTTGGCGGGAACTGGGGGGGCGCTGCGTGTAGAACCCACAGTTAGGGCTGATCTGGCGCTTTCCTGGTGGCTGGCCCGGGCCCAGAGGCTGGGCAGGAGGCGCCCTCCCCACGCCCGGCCCAGGGACCTGCTGTCAGCGGGCGTGTCCCCGGGGGTGTCGACCTTCACCGCGCGGTCGAGGTCATGTTTGCCAGGTTTGTCCGCGGGCGCTAACCTTCCCCTCCTGTCTGCCCTCGGCTCTCGGCAGCAAGTCACCAGGCGCAGCCCCCGCGCGAGGGGCGGGCAGCTCAGCCCTGGAGGGGGCCGCGCGGACACAGCTTACTCGGAATCCTTGTGGACCTTTCGGAATTATTTCAGGATTGGCGCCTCTCCGCGCCATCGGCCCTCAGGGCGGCAGCCTCTGCTTTGTGGAGGGCGGTTCCCTGGCAGTACCTGAACAACCTGGGCTCGGTCCCTGGTTCTGCCCGTTCACTCTGTGCGACCCGGGGCGACTCCCCGTGGAGAATGAGGACAGCTCGGATCCTGAGGCCGTGCTGACCGCCCCGGGTGCCGGCCCCGCCTGGGCCCGGCAGGGGCTCTCTTGGCTCCCGGGGCTCCCCAGCACACGGGCCCCGCGATGGCAACCCCGCGGTCTCGCTCACAACCAGGCCCTCGGCGCACAGCGTGGGATGTGGGAGACAGATGGAAGCTCGCCCCGAGCCTTGGCCTCCCCCCTTTGCTGTGGGGTGATGGTCACAGTGTCCCTGTGGGGTAAGGATGCCCGCAGCGTGGCGAGGGGCAGGTGGAGGTGCTGGGCTTCGGGGAAGCTGCTGGAACCATGGAGTTCCATGTTCTTACTGAGACAGCAGGCCGGGCCAGAGCTGGGTCTCAGCCAGATGGGAAAATGGGGGGCCATGAGATGGGGCAGTCCAGGGAACTTGAGGGACGGTGGTGAGAGGGACCCCAGGTCCTTAAGGCTCCCCCTCCCTTCTCAGTCACAGCCATTGGGAATCACCTGAAGGCTTGGGGACACCCCCTGGCCAGGCCACACCCTAACCCCGAAGTATTAGACTCTTGGGCGTCCCCGGAGGGTCCACGTGCAGCCAGGCTTGGGAAGCGCCGGTGCAGGCAGCCTGCTGTGGGACTGTCTGTGGCTCGCAGAGCCCCCGAAAGGGAGCCTGGAGAGCGCTGCGCAGTGAGACTCTTCCCTTGCGGATCTCCCTGCAGCAACACCGCGGAAATAAGTCAACGCTGCTTAAAATGGTTTGATGTTTGAAAAAGTAACACAGGCGGTCGCAGCCCCGGCAATGCAGGGGGGCACAGCGGGAGGCCATCTGGTGGCCACTGCTCCTCCCAGCGCCCGCCACGCCCTGGCCCTCGGGGTGCTGCTGAGCCACGTGGGGGGGGGGGCTTGCCTCAGGGGCCGGACGCTGCTCCCCGAGGTAGCAGGAGGCGCACGCTCCCCTCGCCCAGGCTTCTCCATCATTCTCCATGGGAACCCGGCTCTGCTGCTGTTCCCGGGAGGGGGAGGATGTGGCCCAGCTCATGGTCTGACTCTACCCGTGGGGCCGCTTTGGCTGTGCCAGGCAGCGCCACCAGAGAGCCTCGCGCCCTCGCCCCCCACTGAGACTCTCCCTGTGGGATATACACCCCCTGATAGAGCCCCTCGTCTTGTCATTCCAGAAACCGTCTACACCAGCACGCCCCACATTCGAGCTGCCCACCTTGTACAGGACCGAGGACTACTTCCCCGTGGACGCCGGCGAGGCGCGCCCCGAACGCCTGCCCGCCAAGGCTCCGGCCTGTGAGCTCCGGGCTGCTGCAGGGGGCCTGGAAAGCAGAACTCCGTGGACAAGGCAGCTTGGGCTTTTCCATTTTTTTGGGCTTCGCATGAGACCACGGGGATGGAGCAGTTGAACCCACACGTGGGAACTGGAGGGGGCTCCTGCGCCGCGGGCTCCCCGCTGTGTCTGGGGTCAGGTGGTCTGGGGCCTCAGATCGCCCTTGCTCTCTGTGAAGGGCTTTGCTGGAATCCTGGGGGTCACTCAGTGCCACCCAGTGGCAGGGCCCAGGCCCCTTGGCATCAATTGGGCTGTGGACCCCAGGGCCTGCTGCCCTGCCAGCCCCCCTAATAAAGGTGTCGAGAGGTGGCCCGTTGTCTGCGTGTGAGAACAGTGGGCTGGTCGGTTTCTCCTGACTCTGGGTCTCGGCCAGGGAGGGTGCTGCCCTGCTTGGCACCAGAGCCTCAGAATCTGCTCTTGTTAGAGCCCCCACCGGCAGGGTGGGGGGGCCCAGCTCTGGCCTTTAGACTCCCAGTGAGAAGGCAAAGGTCACAACGGTTTCCAGGACCGTCGACGGTGCATTGGCCTTGTCTCTTCTCAGGCACGTGACTCTCCTGCTACTGCCTGCTCCCTCCAGACCCCTCACTTTGGTGATGGTTACTTCTGATTTTTCTAGAATTCCTCACAGAGCCAAGAACCTGCACACACAGCTGAACCTCCCACAATGATTTGGGGGAGGTAGCAGAGAAAATCGGGGGAAATCAAGTCTTGTCCATTTTATTTTTTTACTTATTTATTTATTTTTAAAGATTTTTATTTATTTATACAAGCACTGGGTACAGTCAGAAGCGTGGGAGGGCGAGAGAATCCACCAGAGCCAGAGCGGGGAGCAGAGCAGGCAGAAGGACCGAAGTACACTGCTGAGGGGAGCAGCGGGCGGCAGGAGAGGTCTGCGCGCCATGTGGGACCCTCCTCCAGTGGCCGGGGAGCAGCCGGGGAATGAACCGGCGCCGCAGAGGCCGCGGGCAGCTTCGCAACCCAGCGCTCAACCGCTGCGCCACCGGGGAGGCCCAAGTCTTGTCCATCTTAGAGTAATGTTTGGGATTGAAAGATGCAGGCGGACCCGTTTCACCAGGGGCTGGCACTTCGCTGGGGAGATAATTTTTGTAAATTTATTGCACCGTAACTTACTCAGGGAAAGACACCTGAGCACAACAGGTCACTGAATTTTCACAGATATGTTTGGCCCTGACCCAGATTGGGGAGCAAGCAGCAGCAGCACCCAGAAGTCCTGTCCAGCCAGTGTCCGGCACCCCCACCCCACCCACTGCCCCCCAACACCTGCCTGACGCTGGCTCTCGGGGCCTTGCTGGCTCCTTGCCTCGTGTCTGGGGCTGGTGGGTGCACACGGTGAGTTGCCCTTGGCGTCTGGCCTCCCGGCTGCCCGTGTGACCCGGCAGTGTCCCCTGGCCGCGTGGAGCTGCAGATTGTTCATCCTCGTGGAGCTGCAGATTGTTCATCCTCGTGGTTGTGTCTGATGGGTCAGGACAGTTCCTGGCGAGGGAAGCTTCGCTGCTCACTGTTAATCCCTCAGATACGCGGTGAGATCGTCCATTTCTGGAAGGATGAGAGTGTGTGTGTCAGGGGCTGGAGCCTCCCAGGCCTTTCTCCTTCCAGTGTGGCCCCCGGGCCGGGGAGAGGGGACAGGGACGCCATGTGATATCAAGCCACAACTTAAGAACCCTGAGAAAGAGACCCGAGGACCATGGCTGCGTGGGCAGCCTGCCCGGGCACCCCTCTGCTGCGCGATCCCGGGCTAGCTGCTAGCCATCTCAGAGCCCGGCTTCCTCTGCAATAAGATACAGAGGCTGGCGGCGCCCACCTGTTGGGTTGTTGTGAGGACGAGCGTGTGGTCTGGGCGAGCATGTGGTCTTGTGGTGACTGGGCCGTGAGGGAGACCTACGTTCTGTGCTTCTCGACTGACCGGGGGCGTTCAGAAGTCTCAACAGTGAGGGACCCAGAGACCGCCTGTGAGAGCGCCCCAAAGTCTACCTGCCCCTCAGGGTTTCCCTGCCCTTGGGTTCTTTTAGGGACACTTGGAAGCACCTCTGAGTGAAGGTCAGGCCTGGACACTGGCGGACTCGACTTCCCCTTTGGCGACTGGTCTCTGGGAGGTGCTGTCATTGTCCACGGTGACTCCATGGGTGTCCCCTTCTCAGCAGGCACCCGGCTGCCTCCTGCCAAGTACCAGAAGGTGCTGGCTTCCTGCTCCGCAGTCTGTATCCGGGGTCACGTGCAGCCGGGGCGGGGGAGGGGGTGGCCTCCTCTTTCTTTCGTGCCTCCGGTTTTGGCAAGGTCATTTGCAAGTTTTCCTAGGAGAAGGCTCCTTGCTCACCACCTCCCACCACGTGGGGGTTGAGCTTCATGCGCGGCTGAAGAGACCCTGAGAGCAGGAGCCGAGTGGGTGACCCGACCCTTTATCCGGTTGGCAGAAATGTATGGTTTGCCCTGAACTGTTAGAAAAGGTTTTCACGTTGAGACAACTGGGTGAGCATCTGGAAAAAATAAAGGGAGTTCCATACCTCACTCTGCAGCCCAGGAGCCGTTCCAAAATTCCAGACGGATTAGGACTTGAATGTATAAAATGAATTTATAGGAGGAGGCAAACACATTGGATTAACCACAAGGGATCCAGGAGCCGTGAAGGTACATAATACACTTGATTATAGATAGTTTTTATTTTAATCCTCTGCATGGCAAAAACAAACGGGAGACTTAACCTACAACATCCCCAAATCAAACAACAGAATTCCCAAGCAAATTCAAAAGACAAAGGGCAACATCTATTGGTAGCTTTTTGTTACAAAGACATAATCTTCTTAATATATAAACAGCACTCACCAATAAATAAGAAAGGTCTATACAAAGGATGTGAACATGCATTTCACAGAAAAGAAAACCAAAGGGACTTTAAACATAGGAAAAAAATTCTCAACCTCACTGATACCGTAAACCTCCACAGTGAAATGATTCTGTTTTCTATTATCTGGCTGGGAAAAGTGAAAATCTTTGGAACTTTGAAGAGACGCGCATGCTCCTGCTCTGACGGAGGGCCAGCATGCATGGTTGGAAATCGACGTGTTTACATCCTTGGACCAGTACCTGCACCCCAGGCCCCTAACCTGGATCCTGGCTACACACACACAAGAGGTGAGAAATGCAAAAGGCTGTTCACTGCGCACTGAAGTAGCAAAAGACAAAGAAGCGTTGTCCAGCAGGTAGGGGCTTGGTTCCATCCCCGGGGATCCCTGTGCTGGAAACCTCTGCAGCTGTGAGGTCGGGGCTCTTAGCGAACTGGCATGGAAAGATGACATGAAAGCCAAGGTACAGAAAAACGTACCCGAGGGGCTCCCGTCCATGCAAAAGAGACGTCACGAGTCTCTGGAAGGAAGAACCAGCTTCTGAGGACGGGAAACCTGCTGGGAGGAGGAGGCGGACTTTTTACTGCTTGCTTGTTTAGACCTTGATCTTTTGGTGATTGTTCCAAAAATTCAATTAAAATCAGTCACCAGCAATTAAAAATGAGGGCAGTCCACACGAAGGACTGGATTTCCAGTTTCCTATTTAAAAATGGGAGCAGCTGGCAATACTGGGCTCGTGCTCTGGCGAGCTGACGAGGCGCTCAAGCCGCGCGGCCGCAGAAGGCCCGGGCTTCAGGTTTCTCTTATTTCACTGATTCCTCCTCGCTGTGGGGCGCCCGTGGGTGTCTGCATTGGAGGCTCTTAGGCCATGGAGGGCTGATCGTGGAGACTCGGGTGTATGAGGGGAACGGCTGGTCGAGGAGGAGATCACGATCAGGGAACATCTCTGTGCCCCACGCACTGGCTCCGGGTCCCCTGCGGGCAGGGCTGGGGGCTCATGGCCCAAGTTGTGATTCCCACAACTGTTTTGCAGGTGCCTGATACTGAGTCAGAAAAAACCCCCGAGGGAGTTACAGACCAATGTCTGTCCTGAACATAGACGCCCACGAGCCCAAATATACCCGACCGAAGCCCGCGGCCTGCAGAGAGGCTTCCGCCGCGCCAAGTGGGATGTCTCCTAGGCGTGCAAGCTGGTTTATCTGGAAATCAATGTAATATTATTTTAAAACACTTTTTTCTTTGTTTGATTGTGGCGTAATTGACATGTAACACACGAGTAATAAAGGACAGAACCCACACGGCCATCTCCATAGACGCAGAAAAGGCCCTGGGCAAAGCCGCATGCCTCCTTGGGTGGGAAGATCGGAAGCTGGGCAGACCCTGCAGAAAGCACCTCCTCACAGGACCCACCCCTGGGAGGTGGCCTGTTGACACGGCAGCATCGAGGCAGCATCGAGGCAGCATCGAGGCCTCTTCCTCCCCATCTTAAAGTGAAATTCCAGTTGTCCTGTGCCCAAGAGCACAGCCAATGTGGGCCTGGAACTGCCGGAAGCCGTGCTGACCCAGGCCGCTCTCCCAGAATCCCAAGTTCCGAGGACTCACTGCGGGTTCTGCAGCACCAGCGCCAGCTGGGTGCACTTAGGCCTGCTCGCAGGGGGCGGGGCGGGGCCTGCTTGGCCGCTGGCTACCAGGGTGCCGCCTGGGATGGGTGAAGGAGCGCCCTGCAGGCGCGGGCGGGCGGGCGTGGGCCCGCTGAGGAGCCACCCCAGCCAAGCCCCCCGCTGGAGGTGGGCCCCTGCCAGGCAGACCTCGCCGGGCCTCCCGGGGCCACACTCCGAGCCCCAGCACCTCTCTTCTGGAGGAGCCAGGTCGGAGTCACAGGAGACCTGGAGGAGCCGCAGGGAACAAGGTTTGTGCCTTTCTTTCTTTGGTCACCAAGACCCGAGTGCGGCCCTGGAGGGAGTGAGGCTTATCCTGTAAGGCCCAGGGGCCCCCACTCCCCCATTTTCCCGGTGAGCGAGCTTGCACGCGCGTGTCTTCCACGCTGCATCTCTAATCACAGAGACGGGGGCAGGTGTGTCCAGTGGAGGCAACTATTTACTCTCCGGGGTAGCGACCGTGCTCGCCCGCAGAGGCCGCGCCGTGGCCTCGCACCTGTGCGTCTCTTCAGTGAAAACATGTTCTCAGTCTTGGCTGCATATGGGGGGCAGTCGGGCCGCACCCCACCCACACCGTGGGCTCCCCGGGCCAGGCCTCAGCTGCTGGGTGATTCAGCCGCCCGGGAGTCCCCCTCTCAGGGCACGGCCGTGGGAGACGCCCAGGAGGCCCCGCGACCCCGTGTCCCTGGGCCAGCCGCGGTGTTGGCGTCTCCCGCCCTGCGCCAGGGCTCCTTCCACGGGGCCGCGGCCTCCGCCTTCCCGAGCGCGGTGTGGAAGGGGGCGTGATGGTTTCTGGCGGGGCTG